TAGAAAATATAAGAAAATGTTTCAGTCTCTAAGAGGAAAATGGGCTTTGGGGTTCAGCAGTGGAGAACTCTGAGGCAGGAGAGTGTTTGGGGAGCTCTAAAAGACAAGCTTGGCAAATGAGAAGTTCATATGTGATAAAAGGTTGGGGACTTTGGCAATATAGGGGAAAAACGCTCAGCTGGCCAAGTAGGAGGATTATTTTCTCATTACAATGTTTTTCCAATTTTAATCAAGCCTCATTTGGCAAAAGTATGAATATATAAATTCTTAAGGACTTAAGTGGAAGTGTTTTCCCAGGAGCCCACAGTTCCCATGTATATTCTCTTAGAAGGCACAAAAAGTTTCTTGAGGTAGCCCAACACTGAAGAGTGGGTGCCTGGTCTCCAAAAAAGGCATCTGTGCTCCCAGCCACAACCCCACCCCAGGGCCGCCACCTATGCCCTACATGTTGTACATTACTCTTCTCAAAAAGGTGCCGTTCATATTTTAGTCCACATTAATGACACCTTCTTGTGAAAGGAACTGCACACTGAATGGCTCAGTGTGGCAGCCCAATCCAAATATGATTAATATATTTACTATCTAGTGGAAAAAGTAGACATCTTGTATGAGCAGATGGGGAATTTTAGCACAGAGATAGAAACTATACGAAAGAGTTAAATGGAAATGCTTTCATTCAAGCCTTCACAGGTTTCTTCTGCCTTTGCATGACACTGAAATAATTATGGGCACATTAAAGTAAACCTTCATCTCTGAAAGAAGTTTGTTGTTTTTCTATATTTGTAGCATTTCCATTTAACTCTTTCTTGTAGTTTCTATCTCCGTGCTAAAATTCCCCATCTGCTCATGCAGTATGTCTACTTTTTCTATTAGATACTTAAATATATTAATCATAGTTATGGTAAAGTCCCTCTCTGATAGTTCTGATATCTGGATGATCTCGGAATCTGGTTTTATTGTTTTGTTTGTCCCTTGATGGTAGGTTTCCTTCTCTTTCTTTTGAGTGTGTATTTTAAAACTTTCAGTTGATGCTGAACATCATGCAGAACAGTAGAAAACGAGGTAAATAATATTTGCACCTGGAAACGAACACACCGCTTCTTCTTGCAGGCTTTTCTTATGTGATAGGGCAGTTGAGTCAATCTTGTCAGTTATTAATTTGGGATTGGGATTTATCCTTGTGGTAGTTAGCTTAAATGCAAGACAGGGTTTTAATTCTTCTAGCATTGTTTTGTGCTTAGGGTAATGTCAGGTTTCCAGAGGATTTTTCTCAGTGCTTCTGCTTTACTTCTTGATCTCTGACATCCATCACACCTAAACCACACAGTGATCTCTCTCCAGGTCCCTACCCCCTTCCCAGTGGTGTTCTTGCTTGTGCGATGGGTGCTTGCTAGGCAAGTACAATTACTTCACTTTCTCTGTCACTGGTAAGCCAGTCTCTGCGTCCCACTTCTCCTGGGAGGAGCTATCTTTCCTTAAAATCAAGCTGCTTAATAGATCTAGAACCTAAGATCTCCAAGTGGTTCAAGAAAAATTATGATTTGGGTGTTCGTCTGACTTGCTCATGTTGTTAGGTTGAAATCCACACCTTTCATTGTTCTATATACCAGGCAGAAGCAGAATTAGATGTGTGCTTTTCAGTTGTTTCTTAGTTTCTCTTACATTCATTTTGGAATAATTTTAGATTTATGGAAAAGTTGTATATAAATAGAGTACAGTGAGTTCTCATGCACCCATCACCCAGCTTCCCGTAAGCTTCCCATCTTATGTAACCATGGTACATTAGTAAAAACTCAGAAATTAACAGTAGCACAGTAATATTAACAAAACTACAGGCATTATTTGTATTTCACCACTTTTCCCAGTAACACGCTTTTCTGTTCCTCTGATGAGTAAAATTTCCCAGTCCCTTTTTGTGTTTTGTGCCATTGACATCTTTGAAGAGTACTTGGCCAGGCATTTTCTAGAAATCCCCTCAAATTGAGTTTTTCTGATGCTTTCTTTTGATTAGACTGGGGGGTCTGAATTTGAGGGAATACCACAGAGATGAAGTGCCCTTCCTCCTTGCATTTTATCAGGAGGTGTATCCACATAACTTATCACTGGTAGTATTAACCTTAAATTCTTAGTTAAGATAGGATCTGTCTGCCAGATTTCCATAATGTAAAGTTACTACTTTTCACCTTGCCTACACTACTCTTTGGAAGTGAGTCGCTAACCCCAGCCCACCATTCAAGTGGTGACAGTACGTAACTAGGCTTATAGTGCTAATATAATGTATATAAATATCAAACCACTATGTTGCACACCTGAATCTAATATAACATTATATGTCAATTATGCTTCAATTAAAAATGTGTTAAGACCCCACCTCTCATACTATCAGTGGCTTTTTGTCCAAGAAAGGCTCAAGGACAATCAATACATGAGTCATCCAATGGCCTTATCAAGTGGACTGGCACAAACTAAAAACAACAAGAGTAACATCCTGCCCATAAAGATATGGGTTGAGCTAGTATTGGGCTGCTGAGGTGAAAAGAATGAATAGAAAAATGTCATAAAATAAGAGGGACCAGAATGTTCCACAGGAGAGCTAAAGTTATAGCCCACGAGAAACCAGAACCTAGCAGGTAGAGAAGTCTATGGAATAGTGAATTAAGTAGCCATTTGGTGAAGTTCCCATTGTTGATAAATTTATAATCTAGGGATAACACATTTAAATTTTTTACGAATACCATCAGTTGATCAATAGATAAAGTTTTCTTACTATGAATTACTTACTATGCATTGTAATTATAAAAGAAGTGAGGAAAGCGTACTCATACACAAAAAAGCTGAGACCAAGAAAAAAATAATGTACTAAGGTAGGCTTTGTGTGTCAATTATGTCAATGTAGGCTCATCAATTGTAAGAAATGTACAATTGTGAGTGGTGAGTGACATCGGATAATGGGAGGCCGGGAGCTATATCGGAAATCTCTGTACCTTCCTCTCAATTTTTCTGTGAACCTAAAAACTGCTCTAAAAAAAGTCTTTAAAAGTTAAAAAAAACTAATTTAAAAAAGTAAAACTGCATATAGTAAGAGCATATAGATAAAAAAATAATGTGCAGTAAAATTGAATTTTTTTGTATGTACATAGACCTACGATTTTAACATATGTATAGATCTGAGTAAACATCACCACTATCAAGATAAAGAATAGTTGCATCACCTAAGATACTTTCCTTGTGTTATTGTTTTATAGTTACATCAACTTCCACTCCCAAACCCACGAAATGATTAACCTACTTTTCATTAATATATGTTTATCTTTTCAAGAACATCATATAGGGCTTCCCTGGTGGCGCAGTGGTTGAGAGTCCGCCTGCCGATGCAGGGGACACGGGTTCGTGCCCCGGTCCGGGAAGGTGCCACATGCCGCGGAGCGGCTGGGCCTGTGAGCCATGGCCGCTGAGCCTGCGCGTCCGGAGCCTGTGCTCCGCAACAGGAGAGACCACAACAGTGAGAGGCCCACGTACCGCAAAAAAAAAAAAAAAAAAGAACATCATATAAATGGAATCATGCAGTATGTAAGCTTTTTTTTTTTTGGCTTCTTTTAATCAGCAAAACACCTTTGAGATTCAACCCACTTGTATATGTCAGTGGTACATTCCTTATTATTGCTGAATTGTATTCTAGTGTTTTACTTTTACAAGTAAAGTTCTCTAAAAAAAATATACAAATAAGCACATAAAAATGCTCAGCATCATTAGTTATTAAAGAAACGCAAAATAAGACTATAATGAGGTAGCACTTGACTCCTGCTAGGAGTGCTAAAATTAAAAAGATTAACTATGCTAAATGTTGTTAAGGATATAAAGGCACCAGAAATTTGAAAACGTAAAACACTACAACCAATTTGGAAAGCAGATTATCAATTTCTGAAAAAGATAAACATAAATCTACTATATGATCTTGCCATTCCAAAACAAACGTTCACACAAAAAAATTGTACATCAATGTTCATTGCAGCATTACTCATAATAGCCAAAAACTTGAAACAACCCAAATGTTCATCCATAGGTGTGGAGATCAGCAAAATATGTTCTATACATGTACTGCAATACCACTCACGCATAAACATATTTGAATCATTGATACACACAAAAACTTGGATGAATTTCTAAATAATTATGCTGATGAAAGATACTAGGCAAAAAGAGTTATACAACTTTTTCTGAAAAGAAAAGCATAACAAATAGCAGTTGCCAAGGCAACATATTGGTGTGGTTTAAGGGAGATCACCTTGGAGGGAGGGAGCAACAGGATATACTACATTTCCTAACATAGGTATACAAAATATATAACCTGCTTCTCAATTTCTGCCTTCCAGGGCCCTGATATGCATAGGGATACACATAAAAGAGTAAATGAAGCCAATGTAAAAATCTCCTCATTCTCAAGAGTTCTAATCAAATACTCAACAAAATACTAGCAAACTGAATCCAACAGCATATTAGAACCTAACTTAAATATAGAACAATAATATAAGAAAATGTAAAGAGTAAAACCCATAAACTAAATATCAAAACCAACACAATGAAAATATCCACACAACATAAGCACACCCACATAAAATTACAACCCCAAACCAAACACACATACATATTACTCTTTCCAATGGCATGTAAACATGCAAAAATGAGGAAAAACTCACTCAGAGTGGTCACTACCACAGACAAGCACATAGAATATGCTGGGAGTTCAAAAAGGAGCATGTAAGTTAGTGGTAACAGTAGTCACGTGAGGTACCCTTCCTACAATATTAGGTGACAAAGAACAATTTGTGTACTTTGTAATTCAAACTAAAATTTCCCTCCACAGTTTGGAGTGGGGTAAGCTATGGGGTTATTAGATTTAGGCACAAAAAAATCACAAACACAATTGTCAATTCAACTGTGTAATGGTTTGAACAAGCATATATTGGAGGTGACACCAGTTTCTACCCCATTTCCCAACAGAACAATGTGAAATTTACAATTTACCCTTCAGGCACTACTCGAGTCCTGTGATCATGTCCAAAAGTGTGGCTCTTGTCACCCTCTCTCTTTTCTCTTTCTCTCTCACTCAGCCTTGTATTAAGAAGGAACAACTGTAGAAAAATTAGGGGAAAAAGCCAATGCATTATTTATTCACATTTAAGAGGGTTGTAATATTTATTCAGACTCAAGCAATCCTTTTGTCACTTCATCCCTTCACATGTAGTATTTTTAAAAGTTAACATTATAATTGTAATGAGATGAACTGAATAAAAAGTTCAGGTACCATCTTTTCCTTTCTCTTAATAATTCAAGTCATTTACTATGTTCTAATAATCAATGTTTAAAATTGATTATATACAAATAAAATTTTGTGATAGTTTAAAGTTTTTTGTCCATTATAGATGTTTTGTGCCCAATGATTTTATTTCTTTTTTTAATTGACGTATAGTTGATTTACAATATTATATTACTTTCAAGTGTACAGCATAGTGATTCAGAATTTTTACAGATTATATTTAATTAAAAGTTATTACAAGATAATGGCTATAATTCCCTGTGCTGTACAATATATCCTTGTTGCTTATGTATTTTATATATAGTAGTTTGTATCTCTTAATCCCATACCCCTAATTTGTCCCTTCCCCATCCTCTCTCCCCTTTGGTAATCACAAGTTTGTTTTCTGTATCTGTGAACCTATTTCTGTTTCGTACATACATTTGTATTATTTTTTGGATTCTACATATAAGTGATATACAGTATTTGTTTTTCTCTGTCTGACTTATTTTACTAAGCATAATATTCTCTAGGTCCATCCACATTGCTGCAAATGGTAGAATTTCATTCTTTTTTATGGCTGAGTAACATTCCATTGTATATGTATATCACCTCTTCTTTATCCATTTATCTGTCGATGGACACTTGGGTCGCTTCCATATCTTGGCTGTTGTAAGTAGTGCTACTATGAACACTGGGGCGCATGTGTCTCTTCAAATTAGCATTTTCATTTTTTTCCAGATATATACCCAAGAGTGGAATTGCTGGATTGTGTGGTAGTTCTATTTTTAGTTTTTTGAGGAACCTTATACTGTTTTCCATAGTGGCTGCACTAATTTACATTCCTACCAACAGTGCACAAGGGTTCCCTTTTCCCCATATCCTTGTCAACATTTGTTATTTGTACACTTTTTGATGATAGCCATTCTGACAGGTGTGAGGTTTTCATCTACATTTCTCTAATAACTGGTGATGCTGAGCATCTTTTCATGTGCCTGTTGGCCATCTGTATGTCTTATTTGGGAAAATGTCTATTCAGGTCTTCTGCCCATTTCTTGACTGGGTTGTTTTTTTGATACGGAGTTGTATGAGCTGTTTAAATATTTTGGATATTAAGCCCTTGCTGGTTGCATCATTTGCAAATATTTTCTCCCATTCTGTAGGTTGTCTTTTTGCTTCGTCAGTGGTACCATCTTAATCTCTAAATATATGGTGACATCAGAGAGGAGTTTCTAACCACTGGCAAAGCTCTAGGCTCTGAGAAGAACAGCAGAATAAATGAGTTACAGGGTAAAGGGATTTGCTGTTCGGATAGAAAGTTTTCTGTATAAGGAAAGAATTTGAGCAATTCCATAGGAGACCTGAATACTATAAATAAAATTGATCTTCTAATAACAAGACAGTTTCCTTACCTGGTACCATTATTTGTGCATTGAGAATATTGTCTATATATTATATGTAGCTTCCAGAACCATAACTACAAAGTGAGTTTGGGGAAAGCACGTACCATTTATTTATATGTGACTAACCTGCTTTCTGGGGGAAAGAGCTACCCCGGGACTGTGCATAATTAGAACCTAAGAAAAAGGGTATGAAGTCCTCAACTCAGAATTTGCCATAGCTTTACAGCGCTGAGCACAAGTCTCTTTCACCCAAATACATCGAGGAGAAAGGAACTCCCCCAATTCTGCGACACAGAGCCTAATTCTGCAGTATCTGAGACACTAAATGCTAGTAACCTAGTGAGCTTTGCATGAGATAAGGAACTGGAGACTCAAGTCCTGAGATCTGGTCAACATGAACACTGCTGGAATACTAACTTTCACCTCTACCAAGGGAGAGGCAACTGTCCTCTGTTTATTTTACTTTTTCAGTTATATGCCTCTTCCTCTCTGACATGAGTACAAGTTTCTTGAAGGCAGGTCCAGTTCTTGTTCAACTACGTATCACCTCATACCAAAAATCTGCACATTAGAGACATTCTACAAATGCCTTTAAATTTATCCCTTTAAATTTTGAGATCCCATAGATCTCAAATCAATAACCTAACTTTCCAATATAATAAACTAGAAACTAGAAACAGAAGAGAAACTAAACTCAAAGCAAGCAGAAGAAAGGAGCTAATAAAGATTAGATTAGAAATAAATGAATTATAGAATAGAAAAACAATAGACAATATCAATGAAACCAAGTTGGTTCTTAGAATAGTTCAAGAAAATTGACAAAACTTCAGCTAAACTGACCAATAAAATAAGATTCAAATGACTAAAATCAGGAATGAAAGAATGGACATTACTATCAACTTTACAGAAATAAGAAGGATTATAAGGATTATAAGGAGATACTATGAAACATTATATATTAACAAAAATTCCTAGGAAGACACAAACTACTGAAACTAACTCAAGAAGAAATAGAAAATCTGAACATACCTATAAGTAAAGAGATTGAATTAGTAATCAGAGGGTTTCCACAGAGGAAACCCCAAGACAAAATAGCTTCACTGCTGAATTCTACCAAATGTTAATACAAGAATAAACACCAGTCCTTTTCCAAAATATAGAAGAGGAGGGAATAGTTTCCAACTCATTGTATATGGCCAGTATTATCCTGATACCAAAGCCAGAAAAATACATACAGGCCAATATCACCTAGGTGATATTATAGAATATAAAAACCCTCAACAAAAATACTAGCAAACTGAATACAGCAACATAGAAAAAGGATTATATACTACACAAGTGGGATTCATCCGAAGTATGCAAAGTTGGTTCAACATATGTGAATCAATGTAACACATCATTTTAATAGAAGAAAGGAAAAAACACATGATTATCCCAATAGAGAACAAACATTTAACAAAATCTAACATCATTTCACAATAAAAACCATCAACAGACCACATCTCCACCAAAATTCTTTCCAGTTTGGTTAGGCCTTTTCAGAACAGTGGGCTGCAAATCTCTGAAGAATATGTATGAGAAGCGTTTTCCAGGGACCCTCATATGCTGTGTCTGGCCTCTTTTTTTTTTTTTTTGGCCTCAATGCACAGCTTGTGGGGTCTTAGTTCTCCAACCAGGGCAGCAGTGAAAGCACCGAGTCCTACCCACTGGAGCACCAGGGAACTCCCAGGGCCTGGCCTCTTGAGATGCTCTTCTGAGGGTCCTCTGTAATAGCTCAGCACTGAAGGGTGGTGCCTTACTCACAGGAGGGCAGCTCTATGCCTGAAGCTCCACCTCCACTCCCAGGACTACCACATGTTGATGTACATGTTGTACATGACTCTACTTCAAAAGCAAACTTCACGGTTCAGTTTGTGTGAATCACACTATCTTGAGTAGGGCACTGCATACGATGTGGCTGAATGTGGCAGCCCCGCTCAGAGACATCTCACACAGCTTTCATGCCACCTCTCACACCTTTAAGCCTTTGAATAGACACCAACATTTATCTAAAGTGCCTCTGCAACCTCTACATCACTGCTCTTCCTCTTCCATCTTTCTCTGAGAGTCCCCTTACCTACTGCATCTTTAATGAGCCAGGTTTCAGGAGCAAGGTAGAATAAATCTCCCTCTATCTCTTCTTACTTAGGAATAATAATCCATATCTGCATTATCCTTTTGATTTTCAAAGTATTAATGATATTAGTGTTAGTTCATTAAAAACCATTTTCCCACCCCCCCCAAAGTAATCCTTTAAGTAGAAAAGTCAAACACCTCATTCCCCAGGCTCCTGTGCTGCAAAATCCCTGATCTTTTTTTAAGTATTCTTTATCTAAACTCCAGCCCACAGAAAAGCCAGTCAAGAGCATCAAGAACGTCCTTGGAGAGAAGAGCGGGAATTTAGGTGCCAGGACAGTGAGATCAAAAGCCCACTTCTTCCACAGATGCTGGAGGAAAAAAAAAAAAAACGGCCTGTATAAACAAACAAAAATGGTTTACAAAACAGAATTTCTGAGGCTTTCATGTGAGAACTGTTTGCTAAGTGCATTTTCTTCACCTTTCCGTTCTGTCTCTCTAGGTGTTTTCAACTCTCATGACAACATGCAACTGCGTAAATTCAGAATGAAGTTCAGGGTAAAGAATTTCCAAAAATAAATGGGACTTTGAGAGATTAGCAACCGGAATTGGAAGTTCTTACAGATAGAGAGGTGGGGAGATTTGGGGAAATCCATACCTGGCTGTAATACTTTTCATTGAAAGAAAAAGGAAAACTGGGGTGAAGTAAACAGATCCAGATGACTCCAACTCCTTGGCCTCTTCTACTTAATACCCATCACTGATAATAGGAATCTTAGAATGAATGAGACAAATCGCATGAGGACACTGCAGTTCCGAGGCTTTTATTTTAATGATCAAAGGAGAGGAATAAGGAGCCTACCTAGACCACTTCCTGTTGCTACGTAGTGGATTGGGAAACACCATGCCTGTATTGACTTCTTCTGCTGGGTGAGGGATCATAAGATAATCTCCAGTCTTGAAGCTCCTAACCAGTTCACCTCCTTCTTTCCAACTTTCTGAGTTTTCCTTTAGTTGCCTTTTGTGTTATTTCCAGTTTTATAGTTGTATTTAGCTGAGATGTGCAGGGTTTGGGCTATGTCACTTTGTCTGAACCTGAAGTCTCCCAATTTACTTGCAAGATTTGGATTTGCAATGATTTTCAGTGCAATGTATTTTTTTTTTTTTTTGCAAATTCTGGTTTTAAGCCCATGGCAACTACTGAGATAGTTCTGGTGATGAGAGAGCTAATATCATCTCCCTGCCACATGCATTCCTGGGGAATGTTTTAGGATAGAGAAAAGGAAGTGGTAAATGGTAGGATATTCATGACTATTTA